TTTTTTTTTTTTTCAAAAAGAGAAAGCGTATTTCGGATCTTTTATTCTTGTAATTAACGGAAACGTGTGTGTACTGTTATTAAATTTTCATTCAACTAGGAATACAAGAAAATATTGTAATATACAATACCGGCCAAAGGTTTCGCTTTATTTTTACTGTATTCAGATTTCTTGTATATTTTTTAACTGCATGTTCATTTTCTATATTATAACTATATAGACTATACGAAACACTTTAGACAAGGAAATCATATTGATATTATAAAAGATCTACGTACGTATATTTCGTAGACAAAATGTGTACGAAAACTTTTGACCATGTATGACAATAAATAAGATTTACCAAAATCACTGTCTCATCTTACAATATTATACACAATATGATCGTTCAATATACCACATTAAAGATGAGAATTTACTTTAATATAATTCGTTCGAGTCATGTCATAGCATGTTCCGAGCTGTCAATTATCGTTGATAACTGTAGATAATTCGACACATTTTATGGTAACCAATTCATTTATGGTAACCACTTTCGTTGTTTTTCGCCTGGCAAGTGAGAATGTCATTTCTTAATATATGCGATGCCAATTAAGCGACGGATGCAGAAGCGTCCGCAGCGCCGATCAATTATCGAAGAAAGTGTTTCGCGGTCGTTTCTGGGACAATTAATGCTTCTTGCGTCACGAGATACGATGATCAAGCAGTTTACTTTCTATCGGAACGGCGCAACCGCGATACCGTTCATTTTCTTGGAAGGGCTGCGCAATTTCAAGTGTCGTCGAATGAACTGTATCGATGAACGCTTACGACATTATCTTAACGACGGTGGAAACCGGAAACAGCAATAAAAGCCGCTCGCCGTGATAATTAATTCGACACGGTCGCCTTTGCGAAACGGTGCTGCTGTTAGTTTAGCGAAAAACCTTCAACTGTGTGAGAGTATCCGTTAACTTTCTATAAGAGGAATTCACAGTCTGTGATAACATAATCGATTAGGAATTTGAAGGGAAAGAAAGAAATTGTGGGAAAAGAGAAGATTTCATCATTACGTTGAGGAATTATTCAAAGAATAATGAAATGGGTAAAATATTTGAAGAATAATCAAACAGAATTCGATTGTCTTCAAGGAATTTGCAATTTAGATTCAGAGATTTAATTTTAGTTTGGATTTATTGATTCTTACATATTACATGTAATTTCTTATAGATATTATTCTAATTATTTTAACTGTTTTACATTGAATTTTTTCGTCATTGTTGAACTGCTTTTCACTATCTTGAATTAAAAAAAGAGCATTAATTCTTGTTTACCAGTAAATCCACTACCAGTAAAACTCAGTTGTTCATAGAGGTATTTGCAATCAGCGGCACGTTTTTAAAAAGAGCTTTCAGTTTTGAAGCGTATTAAAATATACCAACGTTTGCCGAATTTCAACGATACTTTTCGAAAAGATAAACCCGTTTTAAATATGAGGATACATTTACAAATTTCGCTCATTACGCGACAATTTATCTTTTCTGCATTTGCAAACTGCATTTTTTAATGGCAATTATAAATATAAAGCATCGTTTGTCACCGAGCAACATTAATCCTTTTTAACAGGCGTTTTGCCTGTCTCAAAACGAATCACCTGCGAATTAAAAGCGAGAAGCGTGTCTCCCGCGTTGAAACACGTTGCAGCGCGCAAGGACGTCCAATTTATGCAAAAATCTTCTCAACTTCAATTCGCGCTACGATGAATAAAATTTGCGCTCGAGTAGCTGTCATAATACAACACACACACTGTGGCATATTCGTAAATTATTCGCACGAATATCATTTATTCAAACACGCACTCTAAGTTTCTTAGAGCTGACGATTGTTTCAATCCAGAAGTTCGGATACGTATACTTCGTTCCTATTCTATATTCAAATGCAAATGACGTTATGATATTCCCTCGTAATTTAATTTCACAAAGCACGTTGCCACTGTTCACCTAGACTTTACGACAAATATCTATGTAAATTGCTCGTTCGAGAGATACAAGATAGGGAAATTCAAAATTAAGAATATGTTTCCACATACTTTCTATTTGATATCAAACTCATAACTCATAGTAGCCAACATAATTTCTTTAAAGTTGTTTCGAGCTTTAACGTAATACTAATTCCTCTCTCAATTCTTTCGAGGGGAATCTTCTTCCATTTTCTTCCAATGATAATTCACTCGAGTTCGAAGAAGATAGATAGAGTACAAGTATTTTTAAAATGATACACACAGTATTCCACTAGCTCTGAACAACGTCAGAATAATTATCTCAAGCATAATCAAAACGTAACAATAAATTTGATAATTTCCCACAACAATAAATTTGACCAGAGTGATGAACAAACACGCCAACACGCGTGCAACGAGCAGCAACTTGCAAGCTCTCTCTCTCTCTCTCTCTCTCTCTCGTTCTCACGTTTTCTCGCCAGTAGATAGGAGGTCGTTCGTTATCGGGAATTATTAATTTTACGAGTGACTGGGACGTGCTTGAGACGTTCGGTCGGCAAGCCGTTGTATAAACGGTTTTGCAGCTTTGCACAGGTGGCTGACTCGTAACTGGCGCGCGAAAACGAGCGTCGCCATTGTACGTGCCGGCGTTGATCGGCGTCTTCGTTCTCGTAAAGAGAGCCCCGGATTCCAAGGGAGAGTTTATCCTGGACCCGGTTTGCGCTGCTTCGTAAGAATCATGCCAGACTCACGGCATACTAATGCAACGAGGGCATTTACGTTCCTCCTCCCCCCCAGCAATCGATATCCTCTCAACAACAGTCTGTCGTTCGCCTGCCGGTTTCGCCGATTTCTGCATCGCGTGCACCGAACTTGCCTAATGACTATTCGATACGTTGCTTGTATTTCGAATTTTCCTTCGGATCCCAGCGGACCGGGTAAAATCCTTAAACGAGAGTCGAATTGCTGTTGTTGCTCGCAACGTTCCAAGTCACTTGGCTCTCCGGCGTATTTATGTCGGTCGTGCAACTGTATTTCGAACGTTAACGTCGTACATTCGTACGATAATTTTAGGTCTTTTATGCACGTGTCTTTACTATTTCACTGAATCAATTTCACTCGTGAGTGGTGATTTCAGAAACATTTCTCAAACGAAATGCTCGAGGTTTCTTGATTGGAACGCGTTGCGTTAAAATGTTTAAGACTTTAGATACATGGTTCGAAGATATTACAATTTTCAAATGACAATCGTACATTAATTTAATTTATGGTCGATATTTTAAAAACGTGCCTCAGAGAAAATACAGGTTTAAGTTTCGTAAATGATCAGAAATAGATATTCCAAGCTTCACTTCGCGAAATAACAAAGTGTGCACACGCTGAAAATTTCCAGGACGTTGTATATCACAACGTCAACGGCCCATTTATCCCAATTTACACACCTTTGCGAAAACTTCTACTAAAAACAAACACGTGAAATACTGCCGGCAGAAATTATTGATTTCCTGCTGTCGCAAATAAATCGATCCGCTCAAGTTTAATCGTGAAACTGTTCGCTCGCATACAAACGACTATATATATTTTTGAAGGAAAGGATAAAAAAAAAAAATTCGTTTAATTAGCCCGTAGCAGAAGGAATGATGTTATCGCGGCGGTCACGGCGTTGAAATTTTATTTTAGCCTCGCCGCTTTTACGCAATCGACGCGGAATCTAGGTCGACAATTCTGAGACTTTCGTGGATCGGAAATTTTTCTCGTGTTCGGGCAAATTGATACGAACGACAATTAACCCGAATATCGAAATAAAAGAAGGGCGAGCCTGATGGCGGCCAGGTAGTTCTTTAGTCAAGTTCTCGCCATGTATACGTCGCTGTTGTTATTGCAGCTCGTTCCAATCGTGATCTCGCAGACCGTTTCCATGGATCGTACGTACGATTGGCCACCAATTCCATAGAAAATCACTTTGAAATATTTATTAGAAGACAGGAAACAGTCGTTAAATTTCATTTTTTGTTTTTCGTCTACTATTTAGTACTTCCTTTGCTTTCGTTTCTCGAACAAATTAGTACATTTTGATTTCCACTTCCGTAGCATTCCAGTACAAATAGAACAAGTCAGCGCAATAATATTTGTCAGAATTTTGAAAGTTTTAATTCAGAATAATTAATTCGAAACTGACTAGAAACTCAGAGTTTAGAATTTCTACGAATTTCAATTGCAGAAGAGAATGAGTACAAGTACTGAGATTTAAATTAGTTAATAACTTTTATATTGCTCGATTTCTGATTTATTAAATCGATTTAAGCGCTCGGTATTTTTCAGCGGAGTGCAATTGTCTCAGTGCCGATTGTTCGTTAGTTTTCGATTTAAAGAAGGTCATTAAATCCCGTGGTTAAACCTACCGAGCAACGTTGCGTTTTAATTAGTAGTTTTTCAACGAGCATACAGGTGGAAATGCGAGTTCAACGATTGATTCTTCCAGTTGACGAGAGTCGTATTGTTGGAGGCCAGCCAGCGAGTATCGACGAACATCCGTATCAGGTAAGTATTCTAAACGATCGTCCCCGCAACCAAGGAGGGAGGAGGGGGAGCGGGAAGGGGGGAGATTAATTGGTGAAAATCCGTCGAGTGGAAACGTTTCGTTTCGCGTATTGCGCCAAAACAACCCATTAAAAATCGATGTATCCTCGTGTGCACAACGATCGACGAAGCTTACCTCTTCCAACCAAAAACAGAAGAGAAAGAAAGGTTCTCTGTCGAGTCCATCTTTCTTCTTCATCGTAGTATCTTGAATTCCTTTTTTTTTTTTTTTTTTTTTTAAGTAAAATTAACGATCCTGAGTGATCCAAAGGAAACTTGAAACTTTGACTGTTTCACGAATTTTATATATTTTTTTTCTAAAGATTCGCGATAAGTTGAAATATGTTACGCTGTAGAAGTTAATTTTCATCAAGTATTTTGTCGTGTATGTATATTTACTTTTTATCCGACAATATGATCGGTTTAGCTGATGAAATGTATCTTGTTGTAATTCTAGAACGATATTATAAACTTGTCGATAAAATTTAGGGGATTTTTAGAGATTTGAGTAATCTTTCGTCAAAC